TTCGATATCTCGAAAACAAAGGCGCGAGGGGATAAATCCTCTTGAGGTTTTTCATACCTCATTGAGGTCTACCTATTGCCAAAAGATGGGACCTAAAGGGCTTAAACACCTAAATATGTTCCCTCGTAAGCACATTGAAATACCACTTGAGTCCAGCGAAAGGAAATACAGTAAATGAATACGGCTTGCATTGAAAAATTAATGTCCATATTATGAGACTTGTCACATCTCTTTTTCCCAGTATACCTCCGTATCTCAGTGCTCTCTTAGTCAGAAATTGCTAGTTTCCAAGTCATTAAAACAAAAAATTGCATCATTAGTCACTATAAGATGAACAATGATTCAGTATATATGTAAAATATTTACATTGCGCTAAACAATAATGATCTGTAATTCGATGAGCAAAAACAAAAGAAAGATTTAGTTTTACTCGACCCACTAACTTTAATTCATTCTTTTTTCTTTCTCTAGACGGTCTTTATTATGTTTCGTTATTCAATGAGAAAATTCGCCTATAATACAGTAATTCGTCGATGAATTTTTTTTCATTCAATAAAGAGTAGCATACAAATCCAGCTTCCATTCGTTCATTAGTTTTAAGTACTACGATGTGTTCTTTCTATCATCCTGCAGAATTCACGTTAGTGCACTTGTGACTTATGATTTTGGCACCTCTGATATTCAGCTGTTAAATAAATCTTTCTCTCATTTGTAGGAAAAAAACTTTTTACTTAGTTTATCAAAGGAAATTTTTAAATTAGCTGATGTTTCGTCATCCATGTCTACATTAGGGACATTCACATTATCCAGCAATGATAATTCTTGTTTTGCTGGATCAGCATGTATTGATATTCTAAAATAAATTTAAAATTATTGAAAATATACTATATACAGTTGGAAATATAGGGAAAGAAGTTGTATTAACAGAAAAATGTTCTTTCAGTTTTTGCTCCTGATAAACACGTTGATGGCAATTGAGCGTTATTCAGGATCAGATATAAAATTTATATATTTTATTTTATGCGAATCCATATAAAAATTCAATTTCTCATAATGAAAATGTTAGTCGATATTTATTTTCAAATAAAACTAATTTATCAGTCGTTATTATAGAAAATATTCACTTATCTAGAATATTTCATTTTTCATCATCAATTAAACAATTCAAAATAACTGTAAAATATTCTTCAGATTTAATTCATCTATTATTGAATTTAAATAATATTACAGATTTAAACGTTAAATGTCTACAATTGGATGTCATCGAAGGTAATTTTTTAATGTGGAAAACTAATATATTCAGAAGCGTTACTAAAAGTATAAAAGATGGTGATTATGCAACGTTGAAAATTCGCCGCTCTATAGTTCGCGTTATTCGAAAGTTACCAAGAGAGATTCCACAAGAATAAGGAGGAAGTCGCTGATAACATGCCGGGAAAAGAATCTATTTTTTATATGAGACGTTTACGTTTTCCATGGCGAAACTTATCTATTAATGCCGTACAGATTGTTAGACTTTGAGAGCTGTCGCAGTTGTGAGATTTGAAAAACGTTGAAAAATATACAAATCCTCGCTTTCTTTGCGTACAGCGTAGCTCTAAACTTTGTTTTAACTCTTTGAATGATGCACCGTTTGAAAGAGCCGAAAAATCTAAACAAAACTTGATGTTTCTCAGTTTTTCGAGAGAAAATTTTATGCGATAGAAAAGTTTAATACGGGAAAACTTCGAATATTAGAAGTTTTCTGGTAAAATAAATATCTCGTTTTTCCAAATTTGTTTGAACTTGTAAGACTAGGATTAATGTGTGAAACGAACACTTGTGTACAAAATTCACTATAGAATACTGATATCTAACCAAATTTCAGTGTCGAAAAAGTCACTTACAATGAGTATCGTTATAGATTTCGTTCGTTTAGCTAGAATGAGGGTAAAAACTAATGATAAAATACAGTTTAGCACTCATTTTAAAAAGGAATTATCAAATTTTTTTTCTTTTGTATTCAAATCAAGATAAATATTTGTTAATCTTAATTCCAATTCACATTTTGTGCAGCAATTATGGGGAAAATCATTGAAAGATTCAGTTTTCCGTTAAAATATTTGAGACTGCACCAATAGAAATTTTGCATTTATCGCCAAGTTTACGATAAAAGTAATGATTAGAGTCTAGAATCAAGCCGAGTTATTCGCTTAAAGTGAGTTCATATCAGTTCAGATATAAGTTCCTGAAGTCACGGGACCGAGCGAATGCAGACGAGTCGACTACGCAAACTCAGAATATGACTGTGAGCGACCTCTACGGTCGATTCTGTATCATCAGTCCAAAGATTAGCTGTAGCTGCTATACAATGTTGCTTCTAACAAAGAACGTATTTGATGACTATATTGATCAAATTTTGATAATGCTTCGTCACGAATAGTTTGTCTTCCATAAAATATATCTTTAACATCTACTAAACCAATATTAGCTCCAATTTCAAAAGCAGTTTGATCTAATTTCAAAATACCATCATTTTCTAATGAATTAAATGAATGTGAACCGGCCACAACAAATTTTAATTCAGCATCTTTAAGTTTTAACTTATATTTTTCTGGTGATACTTTTTTATTATAAGCAAATTTTGATTGAGTAGCAGATGTTGTTGTTTGAACGTTTTGCCCTTGATTATTGGTTAAATTCGTTTTTGGTTTCAAGTTGTTTTAAATGATCATGTATACCATTTAATCCATAATTTTTCCGTTTACCCTTATTATCTTTTTTAGAATGTGTTCTGTAAGCCATATAACAATGACTACAAGCTGCCGTCTAGTAATAGAATAGATCGATGCAAATTAGAACTATCTACTTTTTACATAGAACCAGCTGAAGTGCCCGGCGTTGCCCGGGAAAATTCAGTTTTGCCTACTTAACATATTGGGAAACGACGGCCGTATGGTTTCGTATA